CTCTTATGCAAAACATTAGCAAAGACAGATGAAGACGCAGAACTATGATAAGCATGTGGTGAATTATAATAAGCATGCACAAGAAATTGGTAAAGACTATTAGCATGGGGACCTCTATGTAGAATGACCTTGGAATGGCTGTCTTGAATAGAAAAAGAACAATTATCAAAGATAATAGAACAATTATTATCCCTAGCTAATTGTTGTATAGACACTAGATTTGAAGAGATAAATGGCACATGTAAAATTTTGTTCATCTTGAAAGAATGGTGAGGTGTAGCAAGGATACCTAAACCAGTGTCATGAATAAGAAGGGATGAGCCATTACCAATGGTCACCTAGTCACCACCATGATATGGTTGAAAAGAGTTGAGGTCGTGAAGATCATTGGTGATGTGATTAGAAGCTGCAAAGTCCAGAAACCAAGAAGAAAGACTAGAAGAATGTGACTCATTAGATATGGAGGCAACAAAATCCTTAGATTGAGGTTGATATGCATAATTCTTATTCTAATAGGCTTGATTCTAAACCTGATATGGCTGAGAAATTTGGTGCTGAGGAAGGGATGAATGTTGAAACTGAGGATCTAATTGATGCTATCATTCAAGAGTTAAATGGTTCGACTTGCCACAGATTTGACAAATAGTGCCATAACTAGTGAATCTACCTCTACCTTGAAATCTGCTTCGAGAGTTTGAAGACCAAGATTGATTAGATCTATTGCCTCAAGGAAATCCTCTTAAATCATGCTGATAAGATCCTCTACCTTGTTAATATGCATTAAATCCCCTTGAAGAAGAACTACGTTCTTTCATTGTTGCATAAGCAACAATCAAATCTTAAGAGTGCTTTAGTTTACCTTCAATATGAATGGCTTTTGAGAAAAGAAAAGAAGAGAGATCCTCTATCGAAATACTCTATGATTGTGTTCGAATTCTAGTTTTAACTATATTATATTCACTCGGTAGGGCATTCAAGGTGATGAGAATAATGCTTTCATCATCAACAAATGATGAGGCCATGCTCAATTGATCAACTATATTTTTGATATTACTAAAAGACACCTCCATTGAGTCATATTTTTTTTGAAATGGAAGTTAATTTGTTCTTGAGTTGATGGATATGAGAATGGGACAAAGAAGTGAATCGTTTATCAAGCCATAGCCATACCTGACAGCTCGTGTGAAAATGAAGGGCATAAGTGAAGATTATAGGAGAAAGTGTAGCTGTGATGCAATTGAGCAAGTGTGCATTAATCTTTTTCTACTTCAGAGCTTCAGGATTTGGAATCTCTATTCAAATGATGAGGCCATGCTCAATTGATCAACTATATTTTTGATATTACTAAAAGACACCTCTATTGAGTCAGATTTTTTTTTGAAATGGAAGTTAATTTGTTCTTGAGTTGATGGATATGAGAATGTGACAAAGAAGTGAATCGTTTATCAAGCCATAGCCATACCTGACAGCTCGTGTGAAAATGAAGGGCATAAGTGAAGATTATAGGAGAAAGTGTAGCTGTGATGCAATTGAGCAAGTGTGCATTAATCTTTTTCTACTTCAGAGCTTCAGGATTTGGAATCTCTATTCTAGAAGAGTTTTGAATCATCTCAATAGGACAACACAGTGAACCATCAACAATCTTTAGAAGATTAGTTGCGCGAAGAAGATTTTGCATTTGACTCTTCCAAACAATGGAATTCATGCTATCGAGCTTACCTGTAACTAGAGAGCTAAGATTCGAAATGAGCATACTGAGATTTGAAGGAATTTCAGGTGAAGAAGAAGATGACTCCATTGAAGAAACCATGAGATTGCTCGTTGGATCTTTTTGGAGTTCTGATACCATGATGAACAACTCAGATTGATCAAAATATCTTCATACTCAAGATCCATTACAACTCTATTCAATATATATATATGGATACTCAACTAACTAACCTACTAACCATCTCACCACTACTCTATCAACGCATCTAACAGCTAAGCTAACTAATTCAGTTACATGAGAATTATTCCTCTACTTCGACAATTCATGAGTCTTTATGTGTTGTCTTCTTATCATCACTAACTTTTCACTAACTTTGGTTAGAGAATGTTCACTTTTAGTTTAATAAGGTACTAAAATTTTACTGATTATAATAGTTTCATTGATTTTACAAAGAGAAAACTTTTGGTTAGAGAATGTTCACTTTTGGTTAGAGAAAAATTTCTAAGCACAAGAGAGGGTAGAATAAGAGAAAACTTACAAAACAAACAAATTAGCAAATAGAGAAATAAAATAAAATGGAGATTGAGAAACATTGAAGGTAAGCAACGTCTAGATCTTGACTGGTAAGATGCGTTAGAAAGAGAAATAAAGTCAGTACCTGATGGAACAATGACAACAAAGACCGTTTCAAGTAAATAAATCACATTTGGTGTTAGAAAGAGACGGAGAATGAGAGATCAGTGGTAGCAATAATGATTTCGAGTGAAAATAACATAGTGGTGGTGGCAAATGCAATTGAGGCGGTGGTAGCAGATGTCGTTGAGGAGACGCTAAAAACATGGTAGAGGCGGTACAAGAGAAAGTCATAGAGAAACAATAGAGAAAAACGATAAAGTATGGAGAGTTTTAAGGTTACAAAATTAATTTTGACAATTTATGTTAAAATTAGTCTTATCTTTCTAAGTTTTGAACTTCTAAAAAATTTTAAAAAATTTATTTAAAATAAAGAAAAAACAACACAAAAACAAAAGCTTAAAAATTTTAAACTGTTTAAAAAAAGTCAAAACTAAATAGGTTGATTAAAAGTACAAAAATATACAGGCCTATTTTGACAAAGAAAATATTTAAGACCCTCACAAAAGAAGATCCTCATGACTTCATTGATGTATTGATTATTGATGTGTTTAAATTTTTCTTAAGAGTTGTGTCTGACAGTAACATGAATGATTCACATCATTTTTGGGGTTATAAGGGTTGTGTTTTGTGGGAGTCTCTATCATTATTGTTTTGACAATTAGGTTAAAAACCAAAAAGTTAACTTTTTGACTTTTTTAAGTCATATCATTTCTCTCTTTTTTTTTTTATAAATTTTTTCACCCAAAAAAAAAAAAACTTTTAACTTATTTTTCAAAATAAGCCATAGTAATAATTAAAAAAAAAACTTATAATTTTATAAAGTCTCCGTTTGGGAAGTGTGTTGGCTTTTTGACTTTTTGGTTATTTTAGCCTGGGCTATTTTAGCCTGGTTTGGGAAGGGCTTTTTGACTTTTTTGACTTTTTCTGTGAGAGAGGATTATAATGATTATAGGTTGGATTTGATGTTTTGTTTTTTTTTTTTTGACTAAAATAGCCTATTTTGTTTTTTGTGATTATTTTAACCAAAAAAACCTAGGGCTTGTTTAGTTTGTATTTGAGAAACATGTTTTGAAATAAAAAGTACGAAAATTTGTTTAGTTTGATTTTTTTCAAAAGATATTTTAAAAAATTATTTTGAGAGAGAGTTTTGAAAAAAGTGATTGATTTGATGTGTATGAGACAGAGAATTGTTTGAAAAACTTGTAAACCAAACAAATTTTGAAAAAAAAATTTGAAAAAATTTGTTTAATTTGATTACTTTTAAAAACTTATTTGTAGAGAATTTTTTCTTAAATTTTTTAAAAAACACAAACCAAATAAGGCCATAGTTTTTTTCTTCCCAACGGAGCCAAAATATAATTGCAGAACTATTTTCCACTTCAAAGCCCTAAAGAAAGGCTACCCAAAAGTCATTAAATTGATGCTCAACCCTACAGAATTTCCACTAAAGTACGATGAGCATGGTCTCTCTCTCTCTCTCTCTCTCATACATACATATATTGAAAAAATTAAAGGCGTGTTTGGTTTAGTTTTTGGATATAAATTTTTTAAAAAGTTATTGAGAAAAGAGCGTAGAAATTTGTAGAAATTTTTTTTAGTTTGTTTAGTTATATATTTTGAAAATAGTTTTGAAATATGATTATTTGAGATGATTTAATATTTTATTATAATTGAAAAAGATATTTTAAAAAATTATTTTGAGAGAGAGTTTTGAAAAAAGTGATTGATTTGATGTGTATGAGACAGAGAATTGTTTGAAAAACTTGTAAACCAAACAAATTTTGAAAAAAAAATTTGAAAAAATTTGTTTAATTTGATTACTTTTAAAAACTTATTTGTAGAGAATTTTTTCTTAAATTTTTTAAAAAACACAAACCAAATAAGGCCATAGTTTTTTTCTTCCCAACGGAGCCAAAATATAATTGCAGAACTATTTTCCACTTCAAAGCCCTAAAGAAAGGCTACCCAAAAGTCATTAAAATTGATGCTCAACCCTACAGAATTTCCACTCATTAAATTGATGCTCAACCCTACAGAATTTCCACTGAAGTACGATGAACATGGTCTCTCTCTCTCTCTCTCTCTCTCTCATACATACATATATTGAAAAAAATTAAAGGCGTGTTTGGTTTAGTTTTTGGATATAAATTTTTTAAAAAGTTATTGAGAAAAGAGCGTAGAAATTTTTTTTAGTTTGTTTGATTATATATTTCAAAAATAGTTTTGAAATATGATTATTTGAGATGATTTAATATTTTATTATAATTGAATAAATGTACATGAGAGAAAAAATAATTATAAAAGAAAGAAGAGAGAAAAAAAAATTAATTAATGTGTAGGAGTAATAAAATAATTTTAAGATTTTTAATTTTTTTTTAATTAAACGAAGTTTTAAAATTTTTAAAAAAAAAATTATGTTTTGAGAGTTAAGGAATTGTTTGAAATGTTCTAAATAAGTGTATTTTTTGACTTTTTATAAAATATAAATTGAATTTAAAGTAATGTAATAAAGAAATAATATAATTTAAATAAAATTATATGATTTAAATAAGATAGTAATTTTTTTATTAAAAATGCCAAACTTCCTAAATGGTGAACATCACTCGTTTTTTCCCTTAAAAACAAAGTTTGACTTTTCCAACCTAAGACCCTCAAGCTGTCCGCAAACAAGAACACAAGCTTTCCCATCATTTAGAGCATCTCCAATGCTTCCACTAGAGAGAGAGAGAGAGAGACCATGGAGTTGACTTGAAAGACTCAGAATTTGCAGAGTGAAGAGCGCCCTCTGTCTAGACTGATAACAATCTTCTGAATTTCGGTAGGCGTAGTGTTGATTTCAGTTTCAATTTTGAATATTGAATATTGAATTTTGAATGAGAAATAGGTGAGGGGGAAAAATGACTATGGAGAGAATGAACTCAACGGGAGGAGGAAGTAGTACAGTATTGTCGATAGAGTGTCTGAGAGGGAGCTCGATGGCGGACGAGTGGACCGGAGACATGTTGCAGACGGGGGACATCGTTGAAGAGCTGAGGATCGGCGGCAGCAGCAGCAGCGGCGGCAGCAGCTACGGTGGTTTCGTCAGATCTCCCTTCAAGAATGGCAAGGCTGGTGTCCAGAAGATTCTACACAATTTCTTCAAGTCCAACCAGACCTCCATCCAGGTCTTAGTCCGACGGAAAGGAGACCAGTTTGCCGAGTTACAGGCTTGTATTGTCCCCAACGACTCTGCTGGGAGGAAGCAGTATATGCTCAGGTCTATCGCTGATCCTAACTACGCCGTTGGATTCTCCGATCGGACGGAGGCCGAATGCTTCGCTTTACAAGGTATTTCTCCTCCACCTGCTTCGCTTTTCCGGATTTGGATTGAATGGTGTGAAGGCACCGTGATGTCCCATCCGTGGTTTGTTCCGATCGTATTTTGATGGTTTGAATAGTGGGTTTCTTCCCATCATTTTTTATTGATAAGTCTAATTTAAAAGTGTTTTAACTCAAGAAATTCATGAAGAAATTTTTTAACCCATTTAGTCCCATGTATGTATAGTTTTATTTCATAAAGTCCATTTTCTTAATTTACACTATTTTCTTAGACACTTATGCCTTATATTTAATTTTGATACCCTTATAAATATTTTTTCAACGATTAGCAATTTAATGATGTGAACATTCATATTTTAAAATTCATATTTGTAGGAATGTAAATTGGCCCGTGGGCAGCCCGAAACTCGCCCGCGAGCTAGGGTGGGCTCGGCCCGTTGACAATGTGAATATTCACATTGACATGTTAAAGTTCACATTAATAGGAGTGTAAAATTGGCCCCCGTCCCGTGACGGCGCGAAACCCGCCTGCAGCCCATGGGCGGCCTGGGGCGGGCCCGGTCCGGCCCGTTAACAATGTGAATATTCACATTGACATGTTAACATTCACATTAATAAGAGTATAAAATTGGGCCGCGGCCCATGGGCGGCCAAAAGCCCGCCCGCAGCCCGGGGCGGGCCCGGCCCGGCCCGTTAACAATGTGAATATTCACATTGACATGTTAACATTCACATTGATAGGAGTGTAAAATTAGCCCGCGCCTCGTAGCTGGCCGAAACCCGCCCACGGCCCGTGGGCGGGCTCGGCCCGGCCTATTGACAATGTGAATGTTCACATTGACATGTTAACATTCACATTGATAAGAGTATAAAACTAGACAGCAGCCCAGGGCGGGCCCGACTTGGCCCGGCCCGACCTGTTGACAATGTGAATATTCACATTGACATGTTAACATTCACATTAATAGGAGTGTAAAATTGGCCCCTATCCCGTGGCGGCGCAAAACCCGCCCACGGCCCATGGGCGGCCCGGGGCGGGCCCGGTCCGGCCCGTTGACAATGTGAATATTCACATTGACATGTTAACATTCACATTGATAAGAGTGTAAAATTGGCTCGCAGCCTGTGGGAGGCCCGAAGCCCGACCGCAGCCCGAGGTGGGTTTGGCCCGACCCGTGACAATGTGAATATTCATATTGACATGTTAACATGCACATTGATAGGAGTGTAAAATTAGCCCGCGCCCCGTGGTTGCCCGAAACCCGTCCACGGCCCGTGGGCGGCCCGAGGTGGCTCGGCCCGGCCTGTTGATAATGTGAATATTCACATTGACATGTTAACATTCACATTGATAAGAGTGTACAATTGGCTCGTGACCCGTAGGTAACCCGAAGCCCGACCTCGGGCCAGGGCGGGCCCGGCCCGTTGGCAATGTGAATATTCATATTGACATGTTAACATTTACATTGATAGGAGTGTAAAATTGGCCCACAGCCCGTGGGCGGCCCGAAGCCTGATTGCAGCCCGAGGCGGGCTTGGCCCGACCCGTGACAACGTGAATATTCACATTAACATGTTAACATTAACATTGATAGGAGTGTAAAACTTGTCCGCTGCCCGAAGCTCGCCCGCGGCCCGGGGTAGGCCCGGACCCAAACCCGGGCCACCCCGGGTCGCCCACGGGCTTCGGGCCGCTCATGGGACGCGAGTCAATTTTACACTCTTATCAATGTGAATATTAACATGTCAATGTGAATATTCACATTGTCAACGGGCATGGGCTAATGTTACACTCTTATCAATGCGAATATTAACATGTCAATGTAAATATTCACGTTGTCAACGGGCCGGGACCGCGTCGGCCCGGGGCCGGGCTTCGGGCTGCCTACAGGTCATGGGCTAATTTTACACTCTTATCAATGTTAATGTTAATATGTCAATGTGAATATTCACATTGTCAACGAGCCGGGCCGGGCCCGCCCTGGACAGCGGGCGGGCTTCGGGTCGCCCACGGGCCACGGGCCAATTTTACACTCCTATCAATGTGAATGTTAATATGTCAATGTGAATATTCACATTGTCAACGGGCCGAACTGAGCTCGCCCCGGGCCGCCCATGGGATGCGAGTCAATTTTATACTCTTATCAATGTGAATGTTAATATGTCAATGTGAATATTTACATTGTCAACAGGCCGGGTCGGGCCCGCCCCGGGCCGCCCACGGGCCGTTGGCTAGTTTCGGGCAGCCACGGGGCGCGAGCTAATTTTATACTCTTATCAATGTGAATATTTGCATTATCAACAGGTCGGGCCGGGCCAGCCCAGGGCAGCCCACGAGCCGCAGGCGGGTTTTGGGCCGGCCACAGGCCGCGGGCTAATTTTACACTCCTATCAATGTGAATGTTAACATGTCAATGTGAATATTCACATTGTCAACGGGTCGGGCTGGGCTGGGCCCTCCCCTCCCCGACCCGGGCCCGGGCTTCGGGCTGCCCACGAGTCATGGGCCAATTTTACACTCTTGTCAATGTTAATGTTAATGTTAATATGTCAATGTGAATATTCATATTGTGAACGGGTCGGCCTGGGCCCGCCCCGGGCGACGGGCTGGTTTCGGGTCGCCCACGGGCCGCAGGCCAATTTTACACTCCTATCAATGTGAATGTTAACTTGTCAATGTGAATATTCATATTATCAACGGGCCGGGTCGGGCCTATTTTTTTGGCTTGTGGGCCGGCCTGGCCCGACTCGAATTTTTCCGGACACTCACGAGGATCGACCTGAGCCGGGCCCCTACATATTGACGACATAAACATTTACATTGACGGTGTGAACATTCACATTAAGGGTATTTTGGTCATTATGTCACCCATAGGACTTATTGAAACATCAGAAAATAATGTGAACTAAATGGAACATAAGTAGATGAAAAGGGTATTTTGGTCTTCTTATCTCAAATTGGACCTAATGGAATAGTCAAAAAGAATATGGGTTGGATGGAATAAAGCTATTAGAAAATGGATTTATCAAAAAAGCTCCCTTTTTTTTTTTTTTGATAATTGGAGGGATTTTGAGAAAATGATTAAAAGTTCGTATTTTATTTTTTAAAATATTTTATGTAAGAAATGATGTAGTTTAAAATGTGTTAAAAGTTGATTTTTGACTTTTTATTTATGTTTCCAAATGTCCCTTAGATTAAAAGTTAGTTTATTGAATTTTTTTTTTTTTTTGACTTTTTTAAGAGTTATTTGGGATGTTTTAAATAAGTATATTTTTGATTTTTTTATGAAATATGAGGTAAGACCAAGTTTGACATGTGGTCAAAAAGTTAAAAAGTCAAAAAATTACTCAAAAAGTTAAAAAGTTATCACTATTCACTAAAAGTCAAAAAGTACGATTGCACAATTCTCAATCTTAATTTTCCCCATACACACTAATTTATATAATTTTTTAGTACACTTTTTTTCATAAAAAGTTAAAAAGTTAACCCAAATAACCATATTTTCTTCCTCAACTTTTCAGTCTAAAAAGTCAAAAAGTACACTTATTTATGATATCCCAAACTAAGGCCTAGTTTGGGAAGACTAAATAAGTGCACTTTTTGATTTTTTATGAAATATGGGTTGTGTTTGGGTTGGGTTTGAAGTGATGTGTTAGAGAGGTGATGTGACTTAAATAGGATAGCGACTCTTTGATTTTTTGTCTTTTTTCAATCATGTCAAACTTGGCCTAAGTATGGGTTGGATTTGAAGTAATGTGATAAAGAATGATATGACTTAAATTGAATAGTGACTTAAATAGAATAGTGACTTTTTGACTTTTTTAAGAAATGACAAACAGGGCCTTAATCACATCATTTTCTTATTTTTTTAACACTTATTTTAAAGAAAAAAAATCAAAAAATTAATAATTGAATTTTAACCTACACTCAAAATAGGCCTTTGATAATTTGAATCCTTACCTTCTATTAAAAAAAATAATAATAAAATTAATTAAATAAGTATAAATCAAGCCAAATAATAAGGAAAATATTATGAATCCCAAATAATTTATTAAATTTTCTATTAAATTTCTCACATGGTATGAGACTCACACATGTGTGATTTGTGTGAGTTTCATACCTATGCGAGATGTTTGATAAAAAATTTGATAATTTATTTGAAATTCATACCATAACTCAAATAATAATTTTAAGAAATTATTAAAATCATACTAACCATATATTTTTTTAAATATAAATATAATTTTGTTGTAGATTATAAATGTCTAATTAATTTAATTTTTTTTATATAAATAATCTATTCAATAAATTTTATAATATACACCGTTTAAATTATTAAAATAAATTAAAAGCACGCCATTACATACTCACAACACGCAAATATACTATGCCTTTATAGGCACAACACCAACCCAGATTCCCTTTTTTCCTCCTATGCTGCTGCTGGAATTTTGATATTGACTTTCTTCGTTTCATAACTGTTCTCTCTCTGTTCACTTGTCGGTTCGCTCACTCGAGTTACACTTCACGCACGTACCAAGTCATTCTTTGCTGTTTTCATTAAAATATTAAGCTATTGTTGCCGAATTATCTATCTAAATTATCAATTGAGTTTAATAAATTTTAAAATATAAATCTAAATCTACTTCATATTTAAACTATCAATTTAATATATTAACTGTAAAATATTTAATACAAACTTATTCATAATGTTATTTTTTTTATTTAAAGAGAATTGGTGATAAATCCAATTTAAAAAAGGTATAAGTAGTGGATATTTTTATTGTTGAGAGGTTTATCATTTGATAAATAGTTTGGTGAGAAATCCTTTCAATGTGTTGGGAAAATATTTTGTTTTCAATTTTATTTCTTAATTTATTTGTTGACTTTTTGCTAATTATCTGTTCAAATTTATATATAAATGATCAAATTATTTTCTATCTGTTCAATTGTCCCCTTATTTGTTCAAATATATGTCTAAATTTTATTATTTGTTCAATTTTTTCCC